GCCCGAGAGGGAACGTCTGCCTGCTCATTAACATAATCCCGCACTTTCCCTGGGAGACTTTAATTAAAAGCAGCCAGCAGAGGGAATTAGGCCTCACCTCGACACGCTCCTTTTCCAGGGAGAGAGAGAGAGGGAACCCGCTTGGGAAGGGGGCCGGAAAGGGGAGGCTTGCCGCGGGATTCGCCTTAACCCCTCAAACAAAATAAACAAATACCCAAACCTACAAAGGCTGGATCTACAGTGCTTGAACCCCACCATATGCCCTGATCCTGTAATGCATTTTGTGACGGTGTAGATCCAACTAAAACACTTGGAAATTAAACCGATTCGTTACTGCAAACAAAGTCCGAAGCGGAGAACTATTTCTGAAACCTCAGGAGAGAATGTGAGAAAGGTAAGGAGAGAATGCTTCTGGAATATGGGTTGTTGTGAGTTTTTCGGACTGTATGGCCATGTTCCAGAAGCATTCTCTCCCGATGTTTCACCCACATCTATGCCAAGTTGGAAACAGATCTCACCACCTCTGAGGATGCAGACGAAACGTCAGGAGAGAATGCTTCTGGAATATGGCCATAAAGCTCGGAAAACTCACAGCAACCGTGTGATTGGAAACACGGGTTGTTGTGAGTTTTTCGGGCTGTATGGCCGTGTTCTAGAAGCATTCTCTCCCGACGTTTCACCCACATCTATGACAGGTATTCTCAGAGGTTGGAAACAGATTTCAGGGGATGTCTTCCATAGATGCAGGCGAAACGTCAGGAAAGAATGCTTCTAAAACATGGCCAGACAGCCCGGAAAACTCACAGCAACCGAGTGATTGGAAACACGGGTTGTTGTGAGTTTTTCGGGCTGTAATTCATGTTCCAGAAGCATTCTGTCCTGACGTTTCACCCACATCTATGACAGGTATCCTCAGAGGTTGGAAGCAAACTTCACAATCTCAGGGGGTGCCTGCCATAGATGCAGGCGAAACGTCAGGAGAGAATGCTTTTAGAACAGTGGTTCTCAATCGTGGGTCCCCAGATGTTTTCGCCTTCAACTCCCAGAAATCCTAATAGCTGGCAAATTAGCTGGGCCAATTTGTAGGCCAAAACACCTAGGCACCCACAGGTTGAGAACTACTGTTCAGCCCGGAAAACTCACAGCAACCGAGTGATTGGAAACACAGGTTGTTGTGAGTTTTTTCGGGCTGTATGGCTATGTTCCAGAAGCATTCTCTCCTCTCAGGTATCCTCAGGGGTTGGAAACAGACCTCACAATCTCAGGGGATACCTGCCATAGATGCAGGCGAAACGTCAGGAGAGAATGCTTTCAAAACATGGCCATACAGCCCGGAAAACTCACAGCAACCGAATGATTCCGGCCACGAACGCCTTCTAAAACACATTTCAGAAATATACCCTGATGGTGATTGAGGAGGAGGAGAGTTTCCCTTCAAGGAAAGGACCAGCAGACACACTGAGGCGAATGGGATCTTCTTCTCCTGGAATTCCTGGAGGAGAAGTCACCAAGGGAGCTTCTGAAGGAGACCTTTCCGATGGAGAAACCCAAACAAGTCGCTTCTCATCCCGAAGACGCGCCTGAAAACTCGTCCGTGTAAATCAAAGCAAGCTTTGGGATGACACGGAAAAGCTCCCTGGATTTCTAAAACCCGGGTGGGGTGCTTAGAGAAGCCACTCTAACCAGGTGTGGAGAAGGAGTCCTGCGTGGACCTGAACTGGGCAACGAAGGAAAGGAGAGGAAAACAAGGGAAAGCGAACAAGAGGCATGGGTCGCAAAGCGCAGCCTATTCTTGTATTGTCGAAGGCTTTCATGGCCGGAATCACTGGATTGTTGTATGTTTTTTCGGGCTATATGACCATGTTCTAGAAGCATTCTCTCCTGACGTTTCGCCTGCATCTATGGCAAGCATCCTCAGAGGTTGGGAGGCCTGCAAGTGGGTTTATATATATTGTCAAAGGCTTTCATGGCTGGAATCACTGGGTTGTTGTAAGATTTTCGGGCTATATGACCATGCTCTAGAAGCATTCTCTCCTGACGTTTCGCCTGCATCTATGGCAAGCATCCTCAGAGGTTGGGAGGTCTGCAAGTGGGCTTTATATATATTATCGAAGGCTTTCATGGCCGGAATCACTGGGTTGTTGTAGGATTTTCGAACTATATGGCCATGTTCTAGAAGCATTCCCTCCTGACGTTTCGCCCGCATCTATGGCAAGCATCCTCAGAGGTTAGGGGGGTTTATATATCTGTGGAATAATGTTCAGGGTAGGAGAAAGAACTCTTGTCTGTTGGAAGTTAAGTGTGAATGTTTCAATTGGTCATCTTGATTGGCATTGAATGGCCTTGCAGCTTCAATGCCTGGCTGCTTCTTGCCTGGGGGAATCCTTTGTTAATATGACTCAGAGTTTTTGCCAGAAATGTACACAAGTTTCTGAGAGATACATAATTAGCAAACCTTTTTGTATTTTGCTTCTATGTTCTCTTCATCTGTTAGTTTCCAACAGACCTCACTACCTCTGAAGATCCTTGCCATAGATGCAGGCGAAACGTCAGGAGAGAATGCTTCTAGAACGTGGCCATATAACCCGAAAAACCCACAACAACCCATGCTTATCATTGCTGCCATTGTTATTATTATTATTCGTGTGCTCCTAATAATTTAGAAGTTGGAGGTCATGATTAGAGAATCAATATTGCCCTGGCTCGCTAATTATCAACAAAGAAATACAAATGAAGATGATGATAATGACAATAACAACAATAATAATGACAGCTTTCTCCACCAGCTTTTTCTTCCAGCGCGACCAAAGCAATCCCCAAGCGGATTACTATTCGTATTTCACGCCGAGGTGGGCGCGCGTGGGCTGGGCGGCGGGGAAGTTACTTTCTTCTGCTGCCAACTTCAGAATGGTCTCCTTTTGCCGGGCTGAAAGGGAGCCCGTTCCTGGGTGGCATTCCCTCCTCGCCCTTCTCTCAGCCCCCAAAGAAAAGAAAACAGAGGAAAAGGAGAGGGATCTGAGTGTGTTTCATTCCTCTTGGATGGAGATGAGGCTGCCTGTGTGTGTGCATTCGTCTCACACACAACCTCCTCCCTCTCCCTCTTTCTCTCCTACAGATTTCCTTTCTCAATCCCAGAGTGGAAGGTCGGCTCTTGTTCCAGCATCAAAAAGTAGTTCTGTTTAACGATGCTAAGTGTGGGTCCTGTAACTTACTCCTTACTAGTCAGTCAACGCATTGAATCAATGGGGTTTATGGGTTGCTGTGAGTTTTCCGACCATGTTCCAGAAGCATTCTCTCCTGACATTTCGCCTCCATCTATGGCAGACATCCTCGGAGGTTGTGAGGTCTGTTGGAAACTAGGCAAGTGGGGTTTATGTATCTGTTGAAAGTCCAAGGTGGGATTTACCTCTGTCATAGATGTGGGAGAAACGTCAGGAACCTGACCATACAGCCCAGAAAACTCTCAGCTCTGAGTCGCCTGCGGGGCTGAGAGGGGCGGCATACAAATATAGTATACAAATATAGTAAATAAATAAATACAGCCCGGAAAACTCTCAGCCCCGAGTCACCTGCGAGCTTAGAGGGGCGATATACTAATATAGTATACAAATATAGTAAATAAATACATACAGCCCGGAAAACTCTCAGCCTTGAGTCTTCTGTGGGCTGAGAGGGTCGGTATACAAATATAGTATACAAATATAAATACACTAGGTTCCTGTGGGTTTTTTCGGGCTATAGGGCCATGTTCTAGAGGCATTTCTCCTGACGTTTCGCCTGCATCTATGGCAAGCATCCTCAGAGGTAAATACAGCCCGGAAAACTCTCAGCCCTGAGTCACCTGTGGGGCTGAGAGGGGCGGTATACAAATATAGTATACAAATATAGTGAATAAATAAGTACAGCCCGGAAAACTCTCAGCCCTCAGTCGCCTGTGGGCTGAGAGGGGTGGTATACAAATATAGTAAATAAATAAATACAGCCCGGAAAACTCTCAGCCCCGAGTCGCTTGTGGGGCTGAGAGGGGCGGTATACAAATGCAGTATACAAATATAGTAAATAAATAAATACAGCCCGGAAAACTCTCAGCCTTGAGTAGCCTGCGTTCTAAGAGGGGCGGTATACAAATATAGTATACAAATATAGAAAATAAATACATACAGCCCGGAAAACTCTCAGACCTGAGTCACCTGCGTGCTAAGAGGGGCGGTATACAAATATAGTATACAAATATAGTAAAATAAATAGATACAGCCCGGAAAACTCACAGTAAACCAGTGATTCCGGCCGTGAAAGCCTTGGACATCACAATGCAAAGGATCCCTCGCCGAGCAAAAGAGGCAGAACTCCAAAGTGGAGGGGAAACAAGGAAGAGAAGAAGAAAAGAAGGACAGAAAGAAGGGAGGAAGAAAAGAAGGAAGGAAGGAAGGAAGGAAGGAAGGAAGGAAGGAAGGAAGGAGAAAGACAACATGTTCCCTTCTGTTTTGCTCCTTTTCGATCCTTTTTTTGAGCTCAGTCCTCTCTTTCCTCCCCAAATTTCCGTTCACAGCAGCAATCCGCTCCAATTTATCCTCTCTGTTTATTTCCTTCCATCTGAGCTCTCTCTTTCTATTTTTTTTTTTTTTGGCTGAAAAGGGGGGACAAAATACCCGCAACCGAAACAGATGTCCTCCCGACTTCCAGTCATTGTCTGGTGCTTTTTCCCCCCCTCCACCGATTAAAATTAAATACAAACCCGACACCCGTTTTTTCCTCCAAGCCGCTTTGTATTGATCGCCCTGCCATCTCTCTTTCGCTCTGTTCTGTTTCTCCGTCTCTTCTCTCTTTCTGCCTTTTCTCTCTCTATTTTGCCCTTTTCCCTTTCCAGGAAACCAACCCCCAAAAGCAGCCACGAAGGGTGTGGTGTGGGCAAGTCAAAGAACATTTCCCCTTCCTTCTCTTATTATCGAATGCATGCATTTTTCATTTCGATGTAGAACCAAATATATATCTTTACTTACCGGGAATAAGGTCAGGATTGTAATCCTAAAGGCAGAAGGGAAGGGGCAGATTGGCAAAAGCAGGAAAAAATATATTAATCCCCAGCAAAAAGTGGCCAAAATTGGAAAAAAAATTCAAAAAGACGCGACGAGTTCCCCTCTTGTTTTTTTTTTCCTATGGGAAGAGGGAAGGCAAAAAAGGCAAAAAAGGAGAATATATTTTTAGAGTGGGTAGTTGGGGATGTGCCTATTGTCCGTGTGCCTTTTCCATGGCCGTGGGGCGCTGCTGGCAGGCGCGCTGGTGTTCCTCTCCGGTGCTTGGCGGAAAAAAGAAGGAAGGAAGGAAGGAAAGAAAGAAGGAAGGAAGCGGGGAGGAAGGAGGGAGGGAGAGAGAGAGAGAGGGAGGGAGGCGGCCGGCAGGCAGGCAGGCGGGCAGGCAGGCAGAAAGGAGCCTGGTGCAGATGGACCCGATGCAGTGACTGACTGGCACCCAGGCGCACCGTTTTTGTTTGCTGCACATCATCGGCCCAATGACGCGTGAGAGCCCCACCTCCCCGCCCCTCTTAACTCTTTCCTCGGCTCCTCCGGCGCCGACAGAGAAGGGAAGGAGGGAGGGGTCTTGGGAGGAGGAAGGAAGGAAGAAGGGGCTGGGAGGGGGGCCCAACCCAGAAGGACTCCTGGAGAGGGACTTGGAGAAGTCGGCTTCAGAGGGGCGCAAGGAAGGGACCACTTGGCGAGCTGGATGGCAGAGGGGCGCCCGGGGAAGAGCGCTTGGAGAAGGGCTCAGGGAGAGGGGCGCTGAAAGAGGCGCACGCGGAGGGGGCTTTGGAGAAGGAGCCACCGAGAGTGGGGCTTGGAAGGAGGACTTGGAGAGGGCAAGCGAAAACGGGCGCTTGAAGAGGGAGGAATTGGAGAGAGGCGGCACAAGAGGGGGTTTGGAGAAAGGAGCTTCAAGAGGGGTTTGTGGAGAAAGGCTCACGAAAAGGGCTGCTTGGAAAAACTTGGAGTGGGGCTCTGGGAGAGCTGCACAGAAAGGGACACGGAAAAGTGCGCTTGGAGAAGGGCGCACGAAGAGGTCTCCCTCCTTTCCTTCCTTCTTTCTTCCCTTTTTCTTTCCTTTCTTTCTTTCTTTCTTTCTTCGTTCCCCTTTTTCTCTTTTCTTCTTCTTTCCCTTTCTTTCCTCCTTCTTTCTCTTTCTTCATTTCCTTCCCCTTCATTTCCTTCTCTCCCTCCTTTCTTCTTCTTTCTTTCCCTCCTTCCTTCCTTCCTTCTCCTTCCTTCCTCCCTCCCTTCCTTTCCCTCCTTCTTCCTCCTTCCTTTCCCTTCCTCCCTCCCTCCCTTCCTTTCTCTTCCTCTTCTCTTCTTCCCTTCTTTCCTTCCTTCCCTTTCCTCCTTCCTTTCTTCCTTCCTTCCTTTCTCTTCCTTCCTTTCTCCTTCCTTCCTTCCTTTCCTTCCCTTTTCTTTCCTTCCTTCCCTTCTTCCTTCCTTCCTTCTTCCTTCCTTCCTTCCTTCTTCCTCTCTTCCCTCTTCCTCTTCCTCCCTCTTTCCTTCCTTCTTCTTCTTTCTTTCCTTTTTCCTTTCCTTCCTCCCTCCCTCTTCTTCCTTCCTTCCTCTTTTCCTTCCCTCCCTCCTCCCTTTTCTTTCCTTCCTTCCTTCTCCTTTCCTTTCCTTCCCTTCTTTCCCTTCCTTCCTTCTTCCTCCTTTCCCTCCTATCCCGACCCCCACTCCCAGGAGGCCCACACTTTCCTCCTTCTAGAATCTAAAGGAAAGGGCAGTTGTGAAGTCCAAGTGAGAAGGCGCCGTGCCTCCTTACCAGAGGTGTGACTGACTCTCCAAGTTTCCTGGAGGGAAAACAATGCATCCTCCTTGACTTCCCAGATGTAGTGCTTCGAGTCTTGGACTGGGATGCGGGGAGATCGGGGTTCAGATCCCCACAGGAAGCCACTGGGTCACTTTAGGGAAATCCCACTTTCCCAGAGGGAGGCGAAGGCAAAGCATCTCTGAACAAAGCTTGCCAAGAAAGATTCGCCTTCAGGTTGCCCTCTGCTGCAAACAACAAGAAAGCCTTCCACAGTTGGCCCGCAGAAATAAAGCCTTCCCTTCCTTCCCTCCCTCTCTTCCTCCCTCCCTTCCCTTCTTCCTTCCTTCCCTCCCGCCCTCCTTCCTTCCTATCTTCCTTCCTTTTTTCAAACAATGCAGCCCTGCGCATGCTGTAGTAAAGTCTCTCATGTGGCTCTGAATGCAAGGTAGGTAGGACTAGAATTGCAACCTCCATACATTACGTTACTTTCTTGGCATTGATTATGAAATATTCTTATACCAGGTCTGGGCAAACTTGGGCCCTCCAGGTGTTTTGGACTTCAATTCCCACCATTCGTAACAGCCTCAGGCCCTTTCCTTTCCCTCCTCAGCCGCTTAAGCGGCTGAGGGGGAAAAGGAAGGGGCCTGAGGATGTTAGGAATGGTGGGAGTTGAAGTCCAAAACACCTGGAGGGCCCAAGTTTGCCATGCCTGTCTTACACCATTGACTCATCACTATTCCAGTTGTTTCTCACCTGGCCTGCAGCAACTCTCCAAGGCCTGGAGTAGGCAGTGATGGTCTTCCACATTTTAAGAGAGGGCTTTTCGCTGCGAATAGGGGATTCAAGGGAGACGTCTGTATATGAAACACGTGCTTTGCCACTGAAGACTGCAGTGCCTCATCACCTCACAAATGCCAGTTTTTAGCCACTTCTTGCAAAGATTGTGCCTTGAGATGCAAAAATGGGCAGATTCTGGTTTTCGGCACATGCCCCCACAAACCCCATGGGAAAGTATTTGTGAGTTTTCTAAATCCCACTGAAATCAATATGGCAATGCAGTGGTTCTAAGCCTATGGGTCCCTAGGTGTTTTGGCCTCCAACTTCCAGAAATCTGGGAGTTGTAGGCCAAAACACCTGAGGACCCACAGGTTGAGAACCACTGATTTTAGTACGCCCCTTTTTCATGGATTTGCCCCCAATCCTTGGAAGCTAGTGGCCTTGAATGCAGAGCACTTTATTTTCAAATAGGAGTGGAAAGTGCCTACCTACAACTTTCCTACCTATCCCAACTCTACATCCCACCTCAGAGTTTAAGATCTTCTGGGGATGCCCCACCACTGTCGCAAATGCACTTGGTGGGGACGAGGGACAGGGCCTTCTCGGTGGTGGCTCCCACCTGTGGAATTCACTCCCCAATGAAATTAGATTATCAATTAGATTAGTCCATTCTTTCCTTTAGTAAGAAGTTAAAAATGAGGCTGTGGGACCAGGCCTTTGGGTAATCTTGCTGACAATGACAGTGACGATGACAATCGCTATGGAAATGGACTATGGGCATGCTTGATGGAGTCTCTAACTACAGAATTCGGCTCAGATAAAGCCACCAGACTGTTACTGAAACAGAAGCAGATTTTAATTAATTAATGTGATTTAATGTTTTAAATGTATGTAATTATTGGATTTTATTATTTATTTTATTATGTGTACATTGGAGGCATCGAATTGTTGCCAGCTGGAAGCTGCCCTGAGTCCCCCCCCCCCAACCCCAGGGTTGAGAAGGGCGGGGTACAAATATCTGAAATAAATAAATAGAGTAGCTCATTTTATATGAATGGAGGAGTGAACAGCTTGGCATCTATTCATATTTAAACTAGGTCCCATGACCATTTTAAGGCTAACAATATAATGGCCCAATCTCATAACAGTCTTGCTGAGAAAGTCTATGCCCCCATTGTAGTCAATGGGATTTATCTCTGAGCCCATACGCATAACAGAAGCTATATCTGTTCTAATGGCATTTATATAAATACAAATCACACGATCCACCTATATGTTAAAGGATTCTAGTAAACTGGGTTGTTGTGATTTTCCTGGGCCATGGTCCAGAAACATTCCCTCCTGAAGTTTCACCTGCATCTATGAGAGATTGTGAGGTCTGTTGGAAGCTAGGAAAATGAGGTTTATATATCTCTGGAATGTCCAGGGTGAGAGAAAGAACTCTTGTCTCACAATCTCTGAGGATGCTTGCCATAGATGCAAGTGGAACGTCAGGAGAGAATGCTTCTAGAACATGGCCATATAGCCCGAAAAAACTACAACAACCCAACGCTTGTCTGTTTGAGGCAGGTGTGAATGTTTCAATTGGCCACCTTGATTAGCATTTAATGGCCTAGCAGTTTCAAGGTCTGACTTCTTACTGCCTGGGGAAATCCTTTGTTGGGAGGTGATTAGCTAGTAAAGCAACCTATTTTCCAATACAACATGGCCAATATTCTATTGATAGCCCCAATTAAATGCAACTATTGAGTGACCCTCTTGGTACAAAGTATATTATTCAATGAGTCTACTCTACTTGGGATGAATTATATTCCAGCTCAAGGTTTGAAGACACTTTAACCTCTACTGACAATATTCCCCACTTTAGAGGATTTAGGAATAATTTTCTCTCTAGCTCTACATTAACCCTTTCCTGGCATCTTTTGAGTTCTCTCTCTTTCTATAAAATCCCAACAGAAAGTACGAGTGCGGCAAGTCAATATTTTAATATTTAGAGCTCCCAGGTTAAGCCACAGCTTTCTAGTTTTTTCCTCTAAAGGACATCAGTTCCTTTATGAGGGTGGGAATACTCTGGATGCTGTTGAACTGCAAGTTCCATCAATCCTAGCCAACACTGCCAATGAGGAAAAATTCCAGGGACTAGAGCAGGCCTGGGCAAACTTCGGCCCTCCGGGTGTTTTGGACTACAACTCCCACAATTCCTAACAGCCAGTAGGCTGTTAGGAATTGTGGGTGTTGATGTCCAAAACACCCAGACAGCCAAAGTTTGCCTACGCCTGGACTAGAGTGTGACAGCATCTGTAAGGACATCCCAGGTAAAATGTGGACTCTGCTTTTTTTCTTCATAGGTCACAGGTGCCTTTTTTGGATCTAGAGGTCTCTTCTGAAGATTTCTGAAATTTCTTGATTCAAGCAAAGTCGCTTTCTCCAAGGCAACAATGACCATCCCCTTCTTTGCTTGATCACTTGGATGAAATAAGATCTACTGCCTTAACACCCTAAAGGCATTAGAGCCCATCTAACCTTTGAAGCAGAGTCAATCCTGGATAGAATCAGGATGGAGGCCACCAAGGAATACCAGATGCTGCAGGCCACGTTTGAGAGGAAAGAACTAGCAGAAGAAGCCTTGCCAAGGAAAACCCTACAGGATTCGTGGGGTTGCCATAAGTCAACAGCAACTGCATGGAATGAGAAATATAGTTTGAATCTGGCCACATTTTTTTCCAGAAGTAGGAATTGTTGGCTGTTTAGTAAGTCTGCAATCCTTCCTGGGAGTAAATCCCATTGAACTGATCGTGTATCTACACCAGACATTGGCAAACTTCAGCCCTCCAGGTGTTTTGGACTTCAACTCCTACAATTCCAAAACACCTGGAGGGCCAAAGTTTGCTCATGCCTGGTCTCACTATATAATTAATGTAGTTTGAGGTTCATGGGAGTTGCAGTCTTAAGTCTTTAGCTTTCTC